TTTTGACTTGTGCCTTTCAAATCCTCTAGCATTCAATACAGTGCTTGGCACATAGTTGAGTATTAATAAATGTTAATTTGTTGTTGCTTTTAAGTACTACTACATAGAATGTTTTTAATGTACTTTCTTCCCTTAAACCTGAAAACTTAAAACTTACAGTAATATTAAACCTTTGCATAATATTTGATGTTCATTGCCTTTGGTTATTGGGAAGTCAGCAACATTCAGAAAAATTGTCTAGGATTAAAATCTCTAACAGCTGATGGTTAAGGAACAAGTTAGTCAAATATCCAAAGTAGTATTATTTGGCACTTTAAAGAGATAAAGATGTTAAATATAGGAAGATATTTATGATATAACATTAAATGAAAAATACTTTTTAAAAACTAACCTACATGCTACTACATGGATGAATCTTAAAAACATCATGCTACTGAAAGAAACCAGATGCAAATAATCACATATTTATTATATGAGCCAATTTATATGAACTGCTAATGTAGGCAAATCTGTATAGACAGTAAATGGATTAGTGGTTTCCAACAGCCCCAGGAGAGCAAAGGAATGAGAAATGTTTGCTCTCAGGTACTGGATATTTTTTGGAGGGGAGTGTTAGATAATAGTGATGGTTGTATAGCATTGTGAATATACCCCCCAAAAACACCAAATTATACACTTGAAAACAGCAAATTTTGTGCTATAAGAATTTTTCTGAATAAAAAATTATAAAAAATAGAATTATATATCCCTTAACATTTACAAAACAACCAAGTATGGTGGTGCATGCCTGTAATCCTAGCACTTGAAAGGCTGAGATAGGAAGATCACTGTGAGTGTGAGACCATCAGGAGATACATAGTTCAAGACCAGCCTGAGGTACATACCAAGACCCTGTCCCCCCACCAAAAAAAAACAAAAAACAAAAAAACAAAGAAAAATCACAAGACATTATATGTAAGAGATACTTTATTTAAAGTAGCACCTGACATATAGTAATTGGCTCATTATTGTTCCCTAGTATATTATTCTTAATTGCAATGTATATGAAGAATAAAAGCAGTTTCATGTTACATCTACTTAAGTTAATGAGTTTGCGGATGAACTTTTTTTTTTGAGACAGGGTCTTGCTGAGTAGTTCAGGCTGGCCTTGAACTGACTATGTAGCCCAGGCTGGCCTTGAACTCCCAGCGATCCTCCTCATTCAGCTTCCTGAATGCTGGGATTAGAAGTGTGCATGACCATGCCCAGCATGTGGATGAACTTTTATAATTATTTTTATTTTCAGTAGAGCTGTAACTAATATTGCTATTATAGTAAATACTTTTGTAAGGATCAAAAACACCAAAAAAATAAAAATAAAAGCTTTATAGACCAAGGCATCTGAGTTTTGAGCCAAAATTCCTGTGAGGAGTTTGCATCACTGGAGCTACTTAGACCTTTAGAGAACAAGAAAAGGATAAGGAAAGGATACGGGTATATTTCAGTGTAAGGACAGACTAGAGAAGCCAACCTGCCATTCATCCAGTGTACGCACATTGTCATAAATTACTGTGAGTAGCTCCAGAAGGGCGAAAGGGCACATGTTAATTAGTGCCTAGCATGATGGCAAGCTTGATAACGATTTAAAGTGTTAATTATAAATATTTTCCTTTGTTAATAATTCTTATTTAATCAAGTCAAAATTAATTTGTGTACTGGAGAACTATTGAAATTTCTCTCTCTAGCTCTCTCTCTCATCTCTTCAAATCCCTCCAAACAGGAGCAATACCATTTTCGTAAGCCTGAGTCAAGTACAGTTCAACTGCTATCCCCAGGCTAATTTCGTAGCTGCAAGAAGTGTGAGGCCTGAGAGCCAGGGCTGGTTAGGACCTGGACAAAACAGAGGAGGGAAAGATAGGTTGATGTGAAGATGTGTACCTTTTTTTCTGCATCGGATTTTCAATATCATGTCCCAAACATTAATTTTTTTAAAACTTAGAAATAAAGAGATAAATAACCCCAGAACCTCTGAGACAGACTGTGAGACCAGCAGATGTTTCTCCAGACAACTCGGGCATGACGAGAAACCATTCTGTTCATCTTCTCTTTTAAACTTGCATCTTTGAAACAGAATCCCTAGCTGAGGTTCTGGCTGCCTCCCACCCTTGTTTCTTGTCTTTGTTACCAACATATTTGTATTTAGCATAAAATCTGGAGAGAGCATGGACAGTTTTCCTGAGACTCTGATCACTGTTAAAGTTGAGGAAAACAAGGCTCCAAGGTGACCACAGAATCATGAGCATTCGGAGGGACTTTTGAAGGCCGCTCATCTAACCCTCTCTTCAGTTTGATGAGGGAGTCAAGTTCAGTTTCTAACCCAGGTTACACCCCTCTCAGGTGTGATAGAACCAGAATTTGAACTTGTTTGTCTAACACCAGTAGTTCTCTTTTTATTGAGCTTATCTTACCCGTGGGTGGGGAAGCCCCCAAATGGTGTACTGGGTCTGTTGTTGGAGTTGCAAGGGTCCAGGTAACTACTTTATCTTTGGGGACTGTTTGTTGAGTTTGTCGTCGGCCTCTATGGAACCCCATGATTCAGGGAGGCTGTTGATCTTCACCTACCAGGTGAACCAGGAGCATGCCTCCCACTCCCATGCACACAGACAGTGGGGAATTATTCCCTGCAACCTTTTCTCTACACACTTCAATCCAGCTCTGTGAATGGTAAGGGAAGGGTTCTATCTTGTGAGTTCCTGATCTCATCTTGGTACCTAGAAAATCGTCCAGCGGTTTTCCTTGTCCTGATTCTGATGTTTCCAAACTTGGCCGAGACCAAGATAAAACACCCATTTACAAGGCATAACTCCTGGGTGAGGACACTCACCAGCTACCCAAAGGTTTCAAGGTGACGTCTGTGACCTTCCCAACTGCTTTTCCAGCACTTAGTTGCCCTTTCTATTCTTATTTTCAATAAAATAAAGAAATACAGCAAGACAGCTTGTGGTGCTCTACTTCAAGAACAAGTTTGATAGGAAGTTTTTATTGCCAAACCCAGTAACCTGCAGTATTCATCATATTTCACCTTGGATTGCTCTCAAACCACTCTGAGTGGCAACTCTTTTGTTTCTGTCATAAAACCCCACATGTCGCTAAGGGTTGAAATAGCAAGAATATTTCTATCCAATCACCCTGCATTCATTTTGGTGGAGTTAATTAGAGGCACAGTTCAGTTTTAGTAACATAAACCCTAAGGCTGGGCACATGGGACTCTGTCATAGCTCAACAGAGTGCTTTTGTGGCTGGTGTTAGAGCACAGACACACTTTCATTTTTAAATGCTCAGATTTCACGTACAAGCCAAAAACTTACTTGAAGCAAACTAGCATAAGAATGTTTGGTTTCTTAAAGCCCTGAGGATTACAGATATCCCTATGGCATAATACAGCTGAATAGGTGCAATTAATAAGGCAGAAAATAAGAGCATTATGACTTCTAAATTCACTGAAAATATTTTGAATCCTTGGTGTCTTAACCATTTGTAATTCTCAACTGCTAAGTTTTAGTAAATAAACTAAGTTGGACTGATAATAAAGTTGTTTCATTTGTATTAGCCACAATTTGAGAAATGTTTATGACCAAGAGTGCATTCAGTAATATATATATATGTATATAATGTATGTATATATATAAAATAAACAGATCAAAGCCAAAGTAAACTATATAGGAAAATAAAATTGAGCCAAAGATGAGATTGTTACATAACATATATTAAGTGAAGTCCATCTATTTGTTGTACTAGTGAGCAAAGGAGGGATATCTGAATTAAATGAACATTCTACTATTGGTTATAATTCACATCTCTTTTCATTGCCCTACAATCTTTGTTTCTGGACAATTCTGAATTTTCTCAAATTTGTGAATTTGCATGTCCAGTAACACCCTTCTTGAATGTGCCTGCCACTTAACCCTTTTACCTCCAGTGAGCATGGCACTCATCAGAGGCTGACGAAGGAAAAAAGATGAGCGCATCAGCTCAACCCCTTATTTGTTTCTTTGTTCTCTTTTTTTGTTATTTTTTTATTTTAATGAGAATGAAAAATTAAAAAAATTAAAACGATACAGAATTTCAAAACAAGATGATAGGAAATCAACAATGGTTTTTATATTATAATTCTTTATTTCTTGGTTTTTAAAATATGTATGTTATGGGGAAGGGAGGGGACATAGCTGGATGTTATTAGAACTATCTGGAATGGGAGAAAAAGGAATTATTAATTCTTTATGAGCTTTTGTTATAAGAGTCATCATTAAATTTTGTTTTCCACACAACTGGAGGACTTCATAGAGTGCTCTTGTTAAGGGACTATAACTTTAGTTATAGAAAATGTGTAACATTTCTTAAGAATGAACATATACCTGTAATCACATAATTATAAGCTACTATGTACAAGGAACGCAAGATCATAAACTTCATAAAAAGCCACTTGATCAGGCAAACTTGAGCCTGTCATGACCTAGAAATAACTGGAAAGAATGCAAAGCATTTGAGAACGTAGTTGCTCAATAATGTGGTGTGTCAAAATAAAGTAGCTATCGTCAATTGACTAACATAATGAATATTTTTCCACAGTATTTTTTTTTTTTTTTTTTTTTTTTTGGTTTTTCTCCGGTACCGGGAACCAAACTCATGACCTTGCGCTTGCCAGGCAGGTGCTTTGCCACTGAGCTAAATCCCCAGCCCCTTTTCCACAGTATTCTTCGATGTTTTTTTCATTACAATAAATACAAATTGTGTGGAAGAAATGAAAACAAAAGCTTTCATGTGAAGAATACTTTTTTTTTACAGATTCACTGATTAATATGTAACCTTTAAATTGTGGTGGTGAAGTCTAAATTTTACAGATTTGTGGGAGATGATCTAGTTTTTCATGCCATTAAAACTCACAAATGCTTTATGTTTCTGCATCAAAATGTATAGAGAAAGTCTCAATAATGTTTCTCTTTTTTCGTTGTGTTCCTCAGGCATTGTTTTAGGAGTCTTGGTTCGAGAACACAGCCAGCTCTCAAATCTGGACAAATTTTACTTTGCTTTTCCTGGAGAAATTCTAATGAGGATGCTGAAACTCATCATCTTGCCATTAATTGTATCCAGCATGATTACAGGTACCTTGATATTCTCTATATTATTATAAAGTCCAGAAGAACCCATATTATTCTTTTCTAATTATGAGGAAAATTGAAATGTATTAGATGCATCACACCACACACACACACACACACACACACACACACACACACACACACACTCCACTGCTCACTTGAAATGTGTATGTTTGGGTGGAAAGATTTCACTGTTGAGGTGATATTGCTTCATCATCCTGCTTTTTTTTTCTAGCACCATCTACCATAGTTCAAGTCTTCATTTGTGCAACATACGATGTCTTGTGAGGAAAATGCCATTTTCAAACATGTTAAAAATAAAGCTCTATCTAGGACACAGAAGAGAAAAAAGGGCCTATTTGGTCAATGAAATGTCATCTAGAGTCCTCAGGAAAAAATGTGGTTGTCAGTGTTGATCATGTTTTCAGTAGTTCATTCATTTACTTCCTAATTCTAGCTATCCTTCCCACTAAGCATTTGGCAATTGCCTTCAGGGTCCCTTTGTTTCTGGTTCTCACCCACTTCCACGCCTCCACAGAACTCCAGACTTGCTACATACCTGTCTTGCAAATTTGCCACAGGGCCAGGAGCCCAATGTTATGAGAAAGGTTTAATTAGGTATTTGAACCATATTTTAAAAGGCCAGCATTTTAAATATGAACTTGTGACACAAATTGGAAAATGATTTTTCTCTTATTATTATACTGTAAGGTTCCTTCAAAGATCAAGTTCCCTTATGTAGATAGAGATTCATTTAGTTTGCAAAAATGTCATTTATCTGGGTATGTTATGCTGCGGTGTGGATCCCACTGTTTCTTGTACATAGCTTAATTCTGGCAATTGGTAAACTGCGGCACACCATTAGTCATCATGTTGTCAACTTGAAAGTTGAAGTTTTATATAACCATGCAATTAGAAGCCCTAACATGCTATCTTCTAGAATGTTTTTCTCCACTATTTCTGAAAAGGCCTGATCTTTATCAAGTCCTAGACATTAGGTGGGTGTCCAGATCTGCCACAGTCAGTAACTGCATGATTTGAAGAGCTGTCATATTTGGCCATTGACCTTCCCAAGTGCCAAATTCCAGCCAGACCAGAGTCCTGTTGAAGTTCTGTTGTTGTTGCTGTTGCTGTTGCACTGTTTTTGGTAGTGCTAAGAATTGAACCAAGGGCTTTGTGCATGCTAGACAAGCGCTCTGTCACTGAACTATACCTCCAGCCTAGGAACTTTATTTTTAAATAGTCTCGGTGTTCCTTGCTTATTAGAAACCTAAAGAGAGCATTTAATTGTTCTTATATATTCAACTAATTTTTGAAATGCCTGGCTTCTTTGAAGCCTAGCCGACCGAGGGACAAGGTATTAGACTTGTTGTTTGCACCATATAGTGTTTATTTGTTTAGCTTTAAATTATCTTAAGCATTTAAAATTTAGAAGATTTCTAGATTTATCTGAAAAATATTAAGATCTGGAAGCACTGGACCCTTGTTCGCATACACTATTAGTCCAGTGATCTGCAGCCAAGAGACAGCTATTCTCTCTAGTTGGAGAAAATGCATTTGAGGATACCTCAGTTCACCATGCTCCCTCTGGACTAACACTTTTGGTCCCAGCATACATTGAAGTTATAATCCTCTAAATTTTTTTCTATATCAAAGATCCTTAATTTTTTCTTGGACTCCTTTAGAGCAGGATAAAAACTTTGCATTCTCTCTTCTCCCCAAATAGCACAACTGTACATATATAAAGTATTTTGCATGCCACTGTTCATAAGTCCTGTGGTGAGTGACACCATTTAATTCTTGTGTTTATGGGGAAAGTACAGAAGATGAGTCCAAATTAGGCAGCAAAACCAAAACTCAGGTATTAAGCCAGGTTTTAGAATAAAAGGTAAAAAAATACATGTGTGAAAATACCAGTCTATATTACATGATTGAAAATATGCACCATTCTTGGCAGTCAATAACTAGTGAGATATTTACAGTCTAGGTATTTGTGTGTAACTCAGCCTTCCAAATAATCTAGGGAAATAATTTACAACTCTGAGCATTCCACTGGCATAACTCAGCTGCTTTTCTGAGCTGTCACCCAGGCCCAGTAGTCTCTCTACCTTTCCTTCACCAAATCCCAAACACTAGTTAGGAGCTCAAGGGAGCAGATCCACTATCCGTTCTCTTGATATGGAACAAGAAGATGATAAAGATTCTAGGGACAGGAACAAAAAGCAGAGGGGGGACAATGATGCAGTATTTGTGTTTAAAATGTCAGATTAAAGGGAAAAAGTAACAGTGCTAGTGTTGGCAAGGATGTGGGAAAGAGTTTATTCATATATTTTCAGTTACCATATAAATTGGAACAGACTTTATGGAAAGCAGTTTAGAACATGTTCTGATATTTCCACCTAGCATTTGTACTTTAGATTTATCATAAATAAACACTCAGAGGTATATGCAAAGATTTGGGTACAAGAATTTTCATGGTAACATTTTAATAGTGGTGACAAATTATGAGTAATCTAAATGTATGGCATACCCATAAGTTGTGATGCTATGTGACTTGTTAAAAACTTTGCTTGGATACATATTTAATGACATGTAGAAATCTTTTTAATATGGCATAAAGGGGAAGAGTAAAACAAATTACACAACAGGATGTTTTGTACAATCCAGATTTTATTCAAATATGTGCACATTTTAAAAGTTGAATTGAAACCAAAAGGTTAACAAGGGTTCATTCTGGATATAAGAAAACATGATTCATTGTGCTTTCTTTACATGTTCAAAGTAAATACATGTTATTTTTGTTTGCTTCTTTGTTCCTTTTTCGTATTTTCTTTTTTTTTAAGAAATAGAGCAGAAGGTGGGATAGACTAGTCCCTGTGCTCCTCACACTCTCCTTGTGGTAGTTTTCCTGCCCTCCTTCCTGCTCTGCTCCCTGTCCCTGTCTGCTCAGGGCCACCTTTACCCCGGAATGTGGGTCCTTTGCCAAACTCTGCACAAGAAGACCATGGGAAACATGCAGGAAGGGCAGTTTCCACATTGCAAAAGCCTTCATAAATCTAGCAGGTCAATAGCCTAATTGATACATTTATTAGGCCAAAGGAAGTGCGTGGGAAGTAGGGAAGGGTAGAATGAGTCCCCTAGGAATACGTAAATTAGAGATAAATAAATCCAAAACTGAGATTCAAAAGTAATAATCCATACTCCTACACAGCTATTGCAAAATTAACAGGTAGAAAACAAATCTGCCATCAAAGCGCTCCTGACATTGAAATGTTTACTTTATCACTTTTTTAAAACAGGAAGAGTTCCTCTTTATGTAATGGTGAGGTTAAGAAGTGCATCTAAGCATGTGTGGCAGGGCCCACCTGCAATCCCAGGTACTCTAGAGGCTGAAGCAAGAGGATTACAAGCTCAAGGCCAGCATGGACAACTTAAAAAAAGAGAAGAGAGGAAAGGAGGGGAGGAAAGGAGAGGAAAGAAAAGAAAGGACTAAGGATGTAGCTCAGTAGTAGAGTGATTGCCTTGTATGTGTGAGGTACATACTGGTTTCAGTGCCCAATACACACACACACACACACACACACACACACACACACACACACTAATCATGGACATTTGATTATTGACTGGATATGAGAAGGTACCAAGAGACTGTTGATCATTTTGTTAGAAATGACAATAGCATATAGTTACATAAGAAAAATATCCCTATTTTAATGCATATGGAATTATGTAGGGATAAAGTGGCATAATGTTACAAATTTGCTCAGAGAGAAAGAGCATAGTAGATACAATCTCAAGGCATTTTTAGAGAAGGCAGTGTAGGTATTATCAGAAAGGGTCCTCACCATGATTTACATCCTGAAGGAAGAACACCTTTCTGCCATGGTGAGAAAGATCACTGTCCTTGGGCCCTTTTACCATCTATGTTTATAAACTGTACTTACATACAGAAATGGTTTTGGGCATGCCAAATTGTGGACTAGAAAAGTCCTAGTCCTGGTCTCCCCAACCAGTGAATTTGAATCAGGCTCATTTTTTAGTACTCTAGTTCTGATGAGTGGAGCCTCCTACAGTCAGCCCAGGAACAAAACAACCCCTGCAGTCCTACTCAGAGATCCTCCTAAGCATCCTTCCTGGATAGTCTTTGCCATATTCACAAAGAAATCTTGGCTCTTCCCTCCAGCTCTTTGCCATGGCCTGTCCTCCACTGGCACATCTGCACCTTCTGGTTTCTTATGTGCTGCTGCAACTGCTCTATTCTTGATGAGATTTTCCCTTTGCTCCTCCTTCCTAGAACAGGAGCAAGAGCTTAATTCTCCATAGCATCAGCGAGACCAGACTGCTACTTCAGACAGAGCTTTGGTAAAGGTTTGGAGGTGACTAAAAGCAGAAAAAACACCACTTGTGATACCCAGCTATTTCTGGAAGGGAATCTTCCAGGGACCCCAGTTACTTAAGAGGGCTGCTCCTCTGCTTAGCTGATGCTTTGCCTCCAAGAGACTGGGACAGCTTATGCCTCCATGTAAAGATACTCTAAGCACCACACCAGGTTCTAAGAAGGAACAATTCTCTAGCCACACTGACCCAGGTATCACCTCTTCCTGTGATTCCTTCCATTGTGGAATGCCCACTTCAGAGAAAAATCTCCCTTGCAGTCATGGGCAGATGGTCCTGCTGTGTGGGCTCTATCAGGGGATTTAACTGATACCTAGTCTCTGCTAGGTTATTGCATATCTGCACTTTTTTCTCGCTGCTGGGACAAAATACCTGACACCTAAAATTAAGGAAGGAAAGGTTTATTTCGTTTACAGTTGGTGGAGGTTTCAGTCCGTACTTGGCAGATTACAAGGCAGAGTGGCACATGGCAGAGAGCTACAGCTCCTGGTACAGAACACAGCAAAGCAACAACCACACACCAGAGTGGAATGGGGGAGGAATGGCCTCAAGCACTCTTTTCCTCTCCCTTACATATGTAAACTATCCACTCCAGGGTGGGTGCA